TATTGTGTTTAGATCAAGATTTTAGGTTTAACAACATAATTTTTTTTATAAAGATAATAATTAACTATTTTGTTATAACTAAAATTTTATCTTAATTATATTTCAGATTATTTATATTTAAAATGAGATGTTTATCATGTATTTGAGTATGTTTATCTAGTTACGTGAAGTCAACATATAGCTTCAAAAAGTTGTACTCATATACCATTTATTTGTATTTTGAGTTATAAGTAATAAGAATTATTAAACAATACTTAATTTATTAAAAATGATTTTTAAGAGTTTTACCCAAATATTTTATAATATTACATTTTTGGAGAATTATTTATTGCATATAATAAATAAATAAACAAAAACAAAGTATTTTTTTTATAATTATATATTGAAATAAGAAACTTATTAATTATCTATACTATCTTATAAAGCATTTGACTAAAACTCTTAAAACTTTTAAACTCGTTCACCCCTAAACGATTTCATCTCTATTCGATTTCATTCCTATCCGATTTCATCTCATATCTGAATTCGTGTAACTAACTGCAAATAATAAAACCAATGTTTACTTAAAATTCAAGATTACAAGTAAATTATGCAAAAGTACAACTTATCAAAGCTCGATTTTTAAATTCGTATAACTAACTGCGGATAAACATAATCAAATAGAGGATAAACATCTTATTTTAAAATATAATTAGGATAATTATCGAGTTCCAACAAAATAATTAATTATTATCTTTATAAGAAAATTATATTATTAAACCAAATATAAATTACTTTGTTATTGTACCTAAATTAAATTATAATAAAAAAATTAAATTAAAATTTACACAAAAAGTGAGGAGTTTTAAATAGTTAACTTGATACAAATATCGATATATTTTTGTTATGCATAAAGTACTGTATATTGATGCATATTACTTAAAATTTAAGATTACAAGTAATTATGCATAAGTACAACTTATTAAAGCTCGATGTTTGAATTCGTATAAATAACTATAAATAAACATAATCAAATAGATGATGAATATCTCATTTTAAAATATAAAAAATCTAAAATATAATTAGAATAATTATCGAGTTCCAACAAAATAAATAATTATTATCTTTATAGAAAAATTATGTTATTAAACCAAATATAAATTACTTTATTATTGTACATAAATTAAATTATAAAAAAATTGAATTAAAAAATTACACAAAAAAATAAGGAATTTCAAATAGTTAATTTGATACTAATATCGATATATTTTTTGTCAAATTTTTATGATATCTTCAAACATATATTTTATTCAAAAATAAGAACATCATCGCTTTCTCAAAATCACATAAAGCCATATTATAACATCGACTGAGATAAAGAATAAAATGAAATATTAAAATCACGATGTATCTCGCTGTATTGCGCGAGTACGTTTCTAGTATATTTATATTAAACCCTTTAATAATTTATGAAGTCTAAAAGAGATCCATTTAATCCACTAATTCAAAATAACTAGAAGTGTACTCGTGCAATGCAGCGAGATATATCTCGATTTCATTGTTTTATTTTAATTTTTTGGTCTCTGTCGATGTTATAATTCGAATTTATGTGGTTTTGAGCAAACAATGATGTTTTTTTTTAATAAAATAAAAGTTTGAATATGTCATAAAAATTAAAAAAGAATATAAAAGTTCCATTTTTATGTAGTTTTTTAAATTTAATTTTTTATTATAATTTAATTTATGTTTAATGACGAAATAATTTATTTTTGGTTTAATAATATAATTTTTATAAAGATAATAAGTAAGTATTCTGTTATAACTCAATAATTATCCTAATTATATTTTAGATTTTATATTTAAAATAAGAATTTTATCCTGTATTTAATTATATTTATTTACAGTTAGTTACACAAATTTAAACATAGAGCTTAATAAGTTGTATTTACGCACAATTTACTTGTAATCTTGAATTTTAAGTAATATGCATCAATAAACAGTACTTTATGTAGAAAAGATGGTTTTTAAAAGTTTTTGTCAAATGCTTTATAATATAGTATAAATTATTGTTTTAATTTATAATCATTATCTAATAAATAAAAATTATTGTAATTTTTAGAAAATTGCATACATATTTGTTTCTCTCTCTCATCTACGTATTAACATATACATTCATAATTAAATGTGTATAAAAATGAACACATTTAATTTATTCAATTAGATAATGAGATTTAATTTCTACATCTATATTAGAAGACTGTTCTTTATATAGATTATAAAAATAGTCTTTGACTAAATTTTTTAAAATAGAACTAAGAAAACAAATTTTACAGTTTCGTCTTAATCGTGAGTCGATAATGTGTATGGATTTGTGAAACTGTGAGTAATTTGATTAAATAAAATCTATAAAAATGTAAATTCAAGGTTAAAAGTGTAAAAACTAAAAATTAAAAAGAACAAGTCATGCCTTGTAAAAAACATATACCATAAGGATAAAAATTCGTTTTATGTGTATAGTGCGCCTTTTTGAACACCGATTCTACTTGATTTTCTCCTTGTGGTTATCTTGAATAATACAACTTAGGGAACAAATCCCCATTTTACTTTCTCATTTTTAATCATAGACCATTGAATAACAATGATACATTGATTGATTTTGTTCCATCTTTTTAGTCATTCAACTTATGCGACAAGTAGTTTTAGCACCTTCAAATATTAATCAAGAAACCCAGTATATCCTATTCGAATTGCAAGATCTGGAAGGTGAGATGAATGCAAATTCAATTCGTCATCCACTGTCTTAGACTTACCATGTAAAGCAACTTGATTACCATGCATAACATAAGTAATTACAGGAGAGAGTTAAGGAGCTATATTAATGGTAAACAGATTGACTGCAATATATTCCTGTACGTTCCTTCTATGTCGGTTTGGTTGACCAGGTGATATCGGTGTCCCTTATATGCCCCCGCAAGATGGAAGATCCAATCTTGGATCAGTTACGTAGAAACGGTAACGGTTCTGTGAGCATATCAACAAGTTGATCTAGCCAGCTGATGTGAAGAACACATATAGTAGGAGTCCAGCCAATACTTGTTCCAGTATGAAGTGATAGTCAAGAGCAACATGCTTCATAGACCGGATTTGCACATAGATACATAGCACCTGTGTTGTCACAAAATAAGTTCGATATATGGTTAGTAGTGACACCTAAGTAAGCTTTTAATCCACATGAGCTCAGCGGAGGCATTGGCCAAGGCCTTATACTGGGCTTAGGTAGATGATAGAGAGACCATAGATTTCCATGAAATGATGTTGGTGCCAAGGTAGAGGATATAACCGGTAGTTGACCGACCGACATCATTACCCCACCCCAATCAGAATCTAAAAATGCCGACAGAGTGAGAGAAGAGTTACGGTTTAGAAAGAGGTCGTGATGAATGGTGCCTTTTAGGTAACGAAGGACACGTTTTAGAGCTTGCCAGTGGGTTTGTCGAGGAACATGCATGAATAGAGAGAGTTTGTTGATGGCAAGGATATATCGGGGCGAGTAAAGGCAAGGTATTGGAGTCTGGAGAGACCTAATATTTGATAATTGTCATTAACTTCAAGTTTAAAATGGGTGTTCCACTAGTGTCACTAGGTTGAAGATATACAAGGGATCACCAAAATCTAATTTAGCAATTTGAGACATCCTTTGGGTCTCAATGACAGCCGATGGACCAGCCATGAGAAAGAACACAAGCAAACAACCACTACAACAGTGGATGAGAAGTGTGGGAAGAAGAAGAAGGAGAAGAAAAACCAATGATTCCTCGAAAGCTCAAATGGTAATTAAGGATGAGTCGATTGCGGGAATAGAAAAGGAGAAAGAACATCAAGATTTAGTGTGTTTATGTCCGTTGACTGCAATTTCTAGCGCCACAGAGAGTAAGATTAAGCAACAATACAATCATCTTGTTAAGTCCCACGAGTCCAATAGATTGACTCTACATGCTCATCTTCTTATTTGTTTTCATCACATACTTGCTTACGATTCATGTGTAATGTACTTTGTGAAACTACACTAAATTTGAACTTTCATGAGCTTAAATGATATTGAGTGAAGAACTTTTATGTTCATCTTTGATCATTTTCTTCTACATTAGATGATGGGAAGATGGAGATGGCTCAAGGTGAACTTTGAAGAAGAAGATAGCAATAATTCCCAAATCAATTAGAAATAAAAAAAAGGAAATAGAATTATGAATAGAAAGATTGAAAATATTATGCCATTAAAAAAGTAATTATCTTGTATTTGTCAAAGACGAAAGTATCTTTTCCGGTTAAAAAAAAAGAAAAAAAATCAAACTCATGGATGGTCAAAATTTGGTTGTATTAGTTGTGAAAATAGAAGGGGTTGCATTTGAAATATATATATATATATATATATATATATAGGGTATATTTCTTTTACAACTTTGTGCATTTGTACAACCCTTGCAACCCAATTAATTGAGATATTTATAGAAATGATGGGAGTTCATTTATTATGATTTGAATATTTATGGAATATGAATAGAGTTCATTAATTATGATTAATACTTTATATTAAGAAACAATTAATTGATTAAAAATTGAATGATTGAGATGAGGGTTGTATAAGGTGTAGGAATGACAAATGGTGTAGAATAACATCTCTCTCTCTCTCTCTCTCTCTCTATATATATATATATATATATATATATATGAGTGATCATATGAAAACCGCCCTCATTTGTGTAAACCGTGCAAACCACCTTCATCTGTCGATTTCATTGTTTA